AAGAGGCTAGTGCAAGCTTCCTGATGGTAGGAACTGGTGGTGGGTATAGCTTGCTGTTTCTGTGGTGGATAGAGCTCAGTAAAACTTTAATCCACTTGTCTGCTGATGGATGGGACTGAGTTCCCTTGCTGTGGGTTTTTTGGCATAGGGCAACCCAGTACTGGAGGATACAGGCTCTTTGGTGGGGCTAATGGCGGACTACAGGTGGTCTCGTGCCAAGGAGTACTTCCCAGAACTTTTGCTGCCAGTGTCCTTGTCCCTGTGGTGAGCCATAGCTGCTCCCCACCTCTGCAGGAGACCCTCCTACACTAGCAGGTAGGTCTGGTTCAGTCTCCCATGGCATCACTGCTCCTTCCCCCTGGATCCTGATGTGCACACTTCTTTGTGTGTGCCCTCCAAGAATGGAGTGTCTGTTTCCTGCAGTCCTGTTGAAGTCCTGCAGTCAAATCCCACTAGCCTTCAAAGTTTGATTCTCTGGGAATTCCTCCTCCCATTGCCCAACCCCCAGGTTGGGAAGCCTGATGCAGCCTTCACTCCAATGGGTGGACTTCTGTGGTATAATTGTTCTCCAGTTTGTAAGTCACCCACTCAGCGGTTATGGGATTTGATTTTGTTTTGATTGCATCCCTCCTACCATCTCATTGCAGCTTCTCCTTTGTCTTTGGATGTGGGGTATCTTTTTTGGTGAGTTCCAGTGTCTTACTGTCAATGATTGTTGAGCACTTAGTTGTGATTCCAGTGTTCTCGCAAGAGGGCATGAGCACAAGTCCTTCTACTCTACCACCTTGGACCAATCTAGAAAAGCAGACTTTCTAATTTGTTTCTCCTCTTGATTGTGTCCAGATGAAGAGAGGGAGGCTGTCCAGTAAGGTAGACTGTCAGAGTTCTCTGACTCTCTACTATTATGCCCTCTCCCCAAACTCCCTTTCACAAGTTCTACAAAGTTCAAAGGAAGATAGTCCCAGGACTATGGGATGGAAGGACTGAGGTGGTCATGAGTTTCATGGGGCAGAGATTATTTACTGCCCAGTTATGTGCAGTGTTCTTGTAGGGTAATCCTAGCCCCAGTACCACCCTCACCCTTATTTACAACACACACATTCTTTCCTCCCCACTGTGCCCAAATTTCCAAGAAATTTCCCAGATAATTCTTGAACATTAATCTGGAGGGGAGGGAGAAGAAAACATGGGGATGAGCTTCTATTAGAAAGTATAAATAAATTATTTTAAGTAATAAATCTAAAGCTAAAATAAAGTAAATAAAAAGGGTGAATGCATAACTCTAAGGAGTTTATTTATACCACCTTTATTTCTTGAATAATGTAGGGAGTTTGATTATAAAGTGTTGAGAAGATATACTGAGATAGATTAATTCTTTAAAGTTTGATAAAAGCAGGTATAATAATATGCGGGGCAACAGTTGTTACATAATATTTTTAGTATTTAAGCCTCCTCTTTTATGTTCAGAGAAGGATGTAAGGTTTTTCTGACATTTGCATAAGCTCTATCTTTTTCATTTCCAAGTTTAGTTTAGTCATCTTTATTTTTATCTAATGTCATTTAAGAACAGGTTGGAGATACTGAAAATAAATGAGATGCACTATTTTAGATGGTGTCTATTAAAAAAACACCGAGACAATTCTAAAGGAATTCAGATCATAGTCAACTTTTTGGACAGTTTTTTGGTAATATGTTTATAATGTCTACTTGTTTAACTTTGTTTTAACTCAAGGAAACAGCCTCAAAAGAAATTTAACTGATATATAATGCTTTCACTTTCCCTGCTCCTTTTGAAGCAAAGTTGACATAAGTTTGAAGGGAATCCACTAAAATTTCCACATGTATTCAATTCTGCTAAATTTGTGTAGACCTGACATTTAGATGAAGGGAGAGGAGAAAAGAATAGAGCTTTAATGGAAAGCTGCATTACTAAGGTGTTTCATCCAAGATTTTCAGGTTAAGATACTGAATATATCTACAAGGAAAGAAAAACATCTCAAGGATGTATTACTTGCACTTTACAGACATCCAGCTATTTGAAAATTTCTAAGCGATCACATATTCATTCATGTTCTCATTAGTACTATTCACCAGATATTTCTGATCCTTCTCTGAGCACAAGTTTGGTTGCATTTTCCCATCTCCTTTATGTTAAACATGGTCACGTGACTTGCTTTGACGAATGAATCATGACAAAAAGCCATATATGTCACTTATGGGAGGAAGCTTTAAGAGCTAGTGTATAATCAGAACCTCTTTTCTTCTGACATGGCAACCAGCTTCAGATGAGGAGATTCTATTGGCACTGTCCCTGGAGTGAAGAGATGTGGCACAATGTTTCTCTCCTCTACCCCAATCCCCTAACCCCCATAAATATGCAACATGAAACAGAAAAAACCTTTGCTATTTTAGAGCATTACGATTTGCAGGCTGTATTGTTACTGCAGCATAATCTAGCCTGCCATGAGGACAAGAACATCTTTTAGAATTTTTTTTTTATGTCGGATGTTTAAGAATAATTGTGAAAATTCTACATCTTAATCTATGGGTTTTTTGCTGTCTATTTCTTACCTAGCTTTTGATCCTATTGTTTCTGATAGCTAGTCTGGATTTAAATATTTGGAAACTAAATGTTATGTAATCTTACAGGAATGGATTTTAATGTGAATTTCTTATATTTATGTTGTGTACTTAATTTGATTTTTTTTGTCATTTGCTAACATATTGGTCCATCTTCTCCATACTATTACATTATATATACCTAAGGAGAAAGTACAACATATAACTAACTAATCTTTATATATGCCTGTGGTACAAATTCTAGAAATACACATTTGGTGGTATTCAGTAAATTTTTACTGAAATGATAGTGGAGTTAATACTGATGAGAAGTTTGATAATGATAGAGACTCCAAGAAAAGATAATGCTCCAGGAACATGCATGTTCAGAGTGACTGGAGTGCAGTTCAATTTATACAAATAATTAACTGCTTATGTGTTCTAATATTTGAAAATCAGAAGTTAGTTTCAAATTATATAACTAACAACATTCTAGATGTTTTAATTGTATAGAAATACAAAAGTATGAGATAAATCTGAGGTTTAGCAAAAGACATTGTGTTTTTAGGGGGAAATGGTAAATGACCACATTTCAGACGTTTGCTATTTGCTGGTTTTCTTCCTCAGTGAGAGATTTTGGTGGAAGTATATTTTAGTATTTAGAATAAAACTTTTGCTGACTCACATTGTATCATCTTTCTGTTCTTACCATACAATTTTAATTTACATTTTCTGGCCCCAGATAACAGATTCTGAAGTGAAGATTTGGAACTTCTTGATAGGTCTGAGTGTATTTGAATCATTTTTGATGCATATTTCCTGGTAAGATTCAGATACTCATTGATAATTTTGGCATCTCTAGTTTCATGACATTCATAAGTGCTGTCATCACATTCCCTAAATTTGTGCTCACAGAATTTAATGCAGAGAAGCTTTTTAATATTAAAGTGTTAGGATTCATTCACATGAAATTTAATTATTGCTGTTAAATCTTAACTAATAGAATATTTTGTAATTCTTGTTATATTTATGATAGAAGCATCTCCAGTAATTTAGAAGCAATTTTTTCCTACCCAGATCTACATGGCACACAGGTCTACATGTGCTCATAAAATAAATGGGGCAAATGAGCAACTGATTAGAATAACTGTTATTGTAATCATAGTTAAATATGGTTGATTGTTTATTCATTTGACAGTTATTTATTAAATAGTTATATTTAAGACACTATCATGAGCACTATGAGTACATACATTAAAATGACATGATCCCATTCTTACAGAGCTCACTTTGTAGCTGTGGATACATATTGATTATATATTGATACATATTGATTATAATCTATGATGAATGCTATAATATAGAGGTGTGCTGTTGAAACAGAGTAGAAGAAAGGATTAGTTTTGCTACTAAGAACTAATGGAAGGACCATGGAGTGATTCACAGAAAAAGTGATATTGGAATTGGGCATTTAATACAATATTTCATCACTTTTCTCTAATTAAAATATTAGAGCTATTGAACGTAATCACCATATCTACCTTGGATAATTAGAAAACTTTCCTCTAGAAATGAGTTGTGCCTAACTTTTATACCATGTTCTATGCTTTGGAATTTTGGAAGTTTTATCCCTGGGTAAATATTGAAAATATTTAACAATCACAATACCCATTCAGAATGGTTGCTGACATGGTATGGAAAACTCTTGACAGTGCCTGTTAACTCTTTAATTGTAAGATTATGGATGGGTTTGGGTGCATGAAGTTCTCATCTCAAATATAACCAATACTAGTTTCTTCCATTTAGGATATTTGTGAGGATTAAATGAGATAATGCATGTAAAGCAGTTGATGCAATTAATGGTAGAGTGTATGAATTCAAGAAGTGTTACGTGTTATAATTATTAAGAGTAAATAAGAATAGACTAGACAACAAATTACAGATATATCAAAAAGTGTGACACCTGAAACTAACACAACGTTGTAAATCAGCTATACTTCAATTAAAAAAATAAAAATAAACACTAAAACATGTGGAGTAATTGGGAAAAATTGCAAAAAAAATTACTTTCCAGTGAAGGTCTACTTGAAGGTTTGAAGGAGATGAGAGAGTGTCTGTAAAAAGTCATTATTTGGAAAATATCCAGGCAAAACACTGACAATTCTATTTTTGTGAGGGATAATTATTTTATATTCTAGTTGTTTCTGATTTCAATGATCATCTATGGTGTTAATGTTGATGAACAAACAGGTCTGGGGTGACATGTTAGTATTTGACTCTGGCTGTTTGCAAACTCTTTTATGATTATACTCTATTGTCTAATTGCTTGATTTATTGATGTTTTGATGATATGTTTTCCAGTAACATTTGTGATTGCAGATAAGTATTTCAACTTTGGCTCATTATCATACATTTGCATTTGATTTGTCTGACTGCTGCAGGTGGAAACAATAGGTGATGCATACTGTGTTGCTGCAGGGCTCCACAGAAAAAGCCTCTGCCATGCTAAACCCATTGCTCTGATGGCCCTGAAGATGATGGAACTTTCTGAAGAGGTGCTGACACCTGATGGAAGACCAATTCAGGTAAGCCTCTCAACAGTTTTATTTGAGTAGTAATGTACCTTTAACTGAGGAGGCAGGAAATTCCCTTCTGAATTCTACATACTATAATTTACAGATCTAGATAAGCCAGTTGCTCAAGAAGGAGGGATTACTAGAGATAACTCATAAACACAGGAAATGAACAAATGGAATATGACCCAAAATAGGAAAAGTTGTGTGGAAGACAAATTACTATGGGGACCAAAAAAAAAAGCTAAAGGATTAAACCAAGGAAGGAACCTGCTGTCAGTGACCAATTCAACAACACCAAGCAACAGTGATGGTGAGAGTCAGTTCTGAGAGATAATCCGAAGAGCAAGAAATAAGCAAGAAATTGGAGGACCTGAACAACTTCCTATGGATAGTGTACAGGTGTTCTTATGAAGCCTTAGGTCTCAGGGTTACTACTTTTTTTATTTTTTTTTTACATCTTTATTGGAGTATAATTGCTTTACAATGGTGTGTTAGTTTCTGCTTTATAACAAAGTGAATCAGTTATACATATGTTCCCATATCTTTTCCCTCTTGTGTCTCCCTCCCTCCCACCCTCCCTATCACACCCCTCCAGGTGGTCACAAAGCACCGAGCTGATCTCCCTGTGCTATGTGGCTGCTTCCCACTAGCTATCTGCCTTACGTTTGGTAGTGTATATATGTCCATGCCTTTCTCTCGCTTTGTCACAGCTTACCCTTCCCCCTCTCCATATCCTCAAGTCCATTCTCTAGTATGTCTGTGTCTTGATTCCTGTCTTACCCCTAGGTTCTTCATGACATTTTTTTTTCTTAAATTCCATATATATGTGTTAGCATACAGTATTTGTCTTTCTCTTTCTGAATTACTTCACTCTGTATGAGAGACCCTAGGTCTATCCACCTCATTACAAATAGCTCAATTTCGTTTCTTTTTATGGCTGAGTAATATTCCATTGTATACATGTGCCACATCTTCTTTATCCATTCATCCGATGATGGACACTTAGGTTGTTTCCATCTCTGGGCTATTGTAAATAGAGCTGCATTGAACATTTTGGTATATGACTCTTTTTGAATTATGGTTTTCTCAGGGTATATGCCCAGTAGTGGGATTGCTGGTTCATATGGTAGTTCTATTTGTAGTTTTTTAAGGAGCCTCCATACTGTTCTCCATAGTGGCTGTACCAATTCACATTCCCACCAGCAGTGCAAGAGAGTTCCCTTTTCTCCACACCCTCTCCAGCATTTATTGTTTGTAGATTTTCTGAGGATGGCCATTCTGACTGGTGTGAGATGATATCTCATTGTAGTTTTGATTTGCATTTCTCTAATGATTAATGATGTTGAGCATTCTTTCATGTGTTTGTTGGCAGTCTGTATATCTTCTTTCGAGAAATGTTTATTTAGGTCTTCTGCCCATTTTTGGATTGGGTTGTTTGTTTTTTTCTTATTGAGCTGCTTATAAATTTTGGATATTAATCCTTTGTCAGTTGCTTCATTTGCAAATATTTTCTCCCATTCTGATGGTTGTCATTTTGTCTTATTTATGGTTTCCTTTGCTGTGCAAAACCATTGAAGTTTCATTAGGTCCCATCTGTTTATTTTTATTTCCATTTCTCTAGGAGGTGGGTCAAAAAGGATCTTGCTGTGATTTATGTCATAGAGTGTTCTGCCTATGTTTTCCTCTAAGAGTTTGATAGTTTCTGGCCATACATTTAGGTCTTTAATCCATTTTGAGCTTATTTTTGTGTATGGGGTTAGGGAGTGATCTAAACTCATACTTTTACATGTATGTGTCCAGTTTTCCCAGCACCACTTATTGAAGAGGGTGTCCTTTCTCCACTGTAGATTCCTGCCTCCTTTATCAAACATAAGGTGACCATATGTGCATGGGTTTATCTCTGGGCTTTCTCTCCTGTTCCATTGATCTATCTTTCTGTTTTTGTGCCAGTACCATACTGTCTTGATTACTGTAGCTTTGTCGTATAGTATGAGATCAGGGAGCCTGATTCCTCCAGCTCGGTTTTTTGTTCTCAAGATTACTTTTTCTATTCGGGGTCTTTTGTGTTTCCATACAAATTGTGAAATTTTTTGTTTTAGTTCTGTTAAAAATGCCAGGGGTAGTTTGATAGGTATTGCATTGAATCTGTAGATTACTTTGGGTAGTAGAGTCATTTTCACAATGTTGATTCTTCCAATCCAAGAACATGGGATATCTCTCCATCTATTTGTATCAACTTTAATTTCTTTAATCAGTGTCTTATAATTTTCTGCATACAAGTCTTTTGTCTCCTTAGGTAGGTTTATTCCTAGATATTTTATTCTTTTTGTTGCAATGGTAAATGGGAGTGTTTTCTTGATTTCACTTTCAGATTTTTCATCATTAGTATAAAGGAATGACAGAGATTTCTGTGCATTAATTTTGTATCCTGCTACTTACCAAATTCATTGATTAGCTCTAGTAGTTTTCTGGTAGCATCTTTAGGATTCTCTATGTATAGTTTCATGTCATTTGCAAACAGTGACAAATCTTTTCTGATTTGGATTCCTTTTATTTCCCTTTCTTCTCTGATTGCTGTGGCTAAAACTTCCAAAACTTTGTTGAATAAGAGCGGTGGGAGTGGGCAACCTTGTCTTGTTCCTGATCTTAGTGGAAATGCTTTCAGTTTTTCTCCATTGAGGACGATGTTCGCTGTGGGTTTGTCATATATGGCCTTTATTATGTTGAGGAAAGTTCCCTCTATGCCTACTTTCTACAGGGTTTTTATCATAAATGGGTGTTGAATTTTGTCGGCTCTACATCTATTGAGATGATCTTATAATTTTTCTCCTTCAGTTTGTTAATATGGTGTATCACGTGATTGATTTGCATATATTGAAGAATCCTTGCATTCCTGGAATAAACCCCAGTTGATCATGCTGTATGATCCTTTTAATGTGTTGTTGGATTCTGTTTGCTAGTATTTTGTTGAGGATTTTTGCATGTATGTTCATCAGTGATATTGGCCTGTAGTTTTCTTTCTTTGTGACATCCTTGCCTGGTTTTGGTATCAGGGTGATGATGGCCTCGTAGAATAAGTTTGGGAGTGTTCCTCCCTCTGCTATATTTTGCAAGAGTTTGAGAAGGATAGGTGTTAGCTCTTCTCTAAATGTTTGATAAAATTCGCCTGTGAAGCCATCTGGTCCTGGGCTTTTGTTTGTTAGAAGATTTTTAATCACAGTTTCAATTTCAGTGCCTGTGATTGCTCTGTTCATATTTTCTATTTCTTCCTGATTCAGTCTGGGCAGGCTGTGCATTTCTAAGAATTTGTCCATTTCTTCCAGGTTGTCCATTTTATTGGCATAGAGTTGCTTGTAGTAATCTCTCATGATCTTTTGTATTTCTGCAGTGTCAGTTGTTACTTCTCCTTCTTCATTTCTAATTCTACTGATTTGAGTCTTCTCACTTTTTTTCTTGATGAGTCTGGCTAATGGTTTATCAAGTTGGTTTATCTTCTCAAAGAACCAGCTTTTAGTTTTATTGATCTTTACTATTGTTTCCTTCATTTGTTTTTCATTTATTTCTTATCTGATTTTTATGACTTCTTTCCTTCTGCTTACTTTGGGGTTTTTTGTTCTTCTTTCTCTAATTGCTTTAGCTGCAAGGTTAGGTTGTTTATTCGAGATGTTTCCTGTTTCTTAAGGTAGGATTGTATTGCTATAAACTTCCCTCTTAAAACTGCTTTTGCTGCATCCCATAGGTTTTGGGTCGTCGTGTCTCCATTGTCATTTGTTTCTAGATACTTTTTTATTTTCGCTTTGATTTCTTCAGTAATCACTTTGTTATTAAGTAATGTATTGTTTAGCCTACATGTGTTTGTATTTTTTACAGATCTTTTCCTGTAATTGATATCATGTCTCATAGCATTGTGGTAAGAAAAGAAACTTGATACAATTTCAATTTTCTTAAATTTACCAAGGCTTGATTTGTGACCCAAGATATGATCTATCCTGGAGAATGTTCCATGAGCACTTGAGAAAAATGTGTATTCTGTTGTTTTTGGATGGAATGTCCTATAAATATCAATTAAGTCCATCTTGTGAAATGTATCATTTAAAGCTTGTGTTTCCTTATTTATTTTCATTTTGGATGATCTGTCCATTGGTGAAAGTGGGGTGTTAAAGTCCCCTACTATGAATGTGTTACTGTTGATTTCCCCCTTTATGGCTGTTAGGATTTGCCTTATGTATTGAGGTGCTCCTATGTTGGGTGCATAAATATTTACAACTGTTATATCTTCTTCTTGGATCAATTCCTTGATCATTATATAGTGTCCTTCTTTGTCTCTTCTAATAGTCTTTATTTTAAAGTCAATTTTGTCTGATATGAGAATTGCTACTCCAGCTTTCTTTGGTTTCCGTTTTCATGGAATGCCTTTTTCCATCCCCTTACTTTCAGTCTGTATGTGTCTCTAGGTCTGAAGTAGTTCTCTTGTAGACAGCATATATATGGGTCTTGTTTTTGTATCCATTCAGCCAATCTGTGTCTTTTGGTGGGAGCGTTTGGTCCATTTACATTTAAGGTAATTATCGAAATGTATGTTCTTATTCCCATTTACTTAATTGTTTTGGGTTCATTATTGTAGATCTTTTCCTTTTCTTGTGTTTCTTGCCTAGAGAAGTTCCTTTACTATTTGTTGTAAAGCTGGTTTGGTGGTGCTGTACTCTCGCAGCTTTTGCAGCCTTTGTAAATGTTTTAATTTCTTCATCAAGTCTGAATGAGATCCTTGCTGGGTAGAGTAATCTTGGTTGCAGGTTCTTCTCCTTCATCACCTTAAATATGTCTTGTGAGTCCCTTCTGGCTTGCAGAGTTTCTGCTAAAAGGTCAGCTGTTAACCTTATGGGGATTCCCTTGTGTGTTATTTTTCTCTTGCTGCTTTTAATATGTTTTCTTTGTATTTAATTTTTGACAGTTTGATTAATATGTGTCTTGGCGTATTTCTCCTTGGATTTATCCTTTATGGGACTGTG